AGGAGGGGCCTCAATGATTAGAATAGGCTCTTTATAAGGGTCCTTGAAAGGTTCTATCAGGCATCTATTCCCTTACTGCTGCTACAGCTACAACGACAACTGCTACCTCTACTGTCAGGATTACTGCTGCTGCTACACCGCAGCCGCCCCTCCAGACTGGCAGAGAAACCCCTGTAGAAACGCATATAGTGTCCTCTATAGTAGCCCAAAGCTCTATACCCCAAGGCCTGTACCCTAAACCTCCCAAAACCCAAAACACAAACTGAACCCTAAACCCACAAGCCCCGTATAGCAACCCTAAACCCAAAGCCCTTTATGCCTAAACCCGAAGAGCCCTTTGCAGTAACCCTGAAATTTGCTTCGAAACCCCAACACCCTGAGAAGGCCTTGCCCCGTCCACGCTGGGCGCCACTCCGGGGCAGTCAGCAGCCTCAGCGGGTTGATGGTTGAGGGTTGAGGGTTTAGAGTTTAGGGTTTGGGGTTTAGGGTAAAACAATGCACCTTAGTTACCCCCTTGAAGACCCATCTGATCCATAAGCCTGAGCCCTCATCGCTAAACCAAAGGAGCTGCATTTCTGCTCCGAGCTCCCTGCGCTGCAAGGGACTCCGCCACTTCGGCGAGCCTGTGCACAGAGGACCAACGAACATAGCAGAGTGTACGTATATCTGTATTGCCAGTAGAGTACACTATGTATGTAAATATCTACATGTGTGTACGTTATATGTACACAAACATATGTATGTGTGTACATATGTATTATTTATTTATCTATTTAGGTGCATGTATACGTGTATGTATGCAAGTATTTCCACTGCTCCGGAACAGAAAATGAGGGCCCCGTAGAACAGAATATCATAGGAAAGAACATCATCTCAGCTGTCCAGAAAACAGTCAACAGGTGCCTCCGTCAATTTCTCATGGTAGACCTTAGCACCAACAGCAGTATGAGTGGGCTTCTCAGCAGGGCGCAGGCAGGCCCTGCGCAAGTGAAGTACTCTCTGGCATCCAGCATGCAGCGGCGAAGCTAAACCAAGACCCGAAACGCCGATTATTCCTTGGCCCCCAAACCCTAAACCCTAAACCCTCAACCCTAAACCCTAAACCCGAACCCCCGAAGGCCCTACCCACACCCGAATGCCCTAGGCCCTATAGGCTCTAAATCCGAATACCCCCGATATTCCAAATCTGGTGGACCCCGACGAGTTGAACCTCTGCTTTCCGCCGAGGGCTTCGCATATTCGCCCGTGCCCATGGCCCCACAAATCACGATGGCCGGTATGGGGGTGTTATCGTAGGGGCATCGCCCCCCCCACCTGACGAGCATTGGCAGCTGTGTTTACGGTTTCGGACTTCGGTTTGGTTTGAGCTTTGGGGTTTGTCGGTTCGGCTCGCGGCTTTGGGGCGTCGGGTTTAGAGTGGGGGCTGCCAGTGTGTCGAGGTTGTGAGAGCAGTTCTGATTTTTCTTGAGACCGCCTCCCACAGATTGGCAATGAGCGGACCGTCCCTGACCCTAAACCTTAAAGCGCTGCAGTAGTATACCGCGTGGAATGCATAGTATAACACGCAGATGTATGTATGTATGTATGTATGTATGTATGTATGTATGTATGTACGTATGTATTGCAGACGTTTGAGATCTTTCAATCGTTTCAGGCATTTCAGACGTTTCAGATGTTTCAGATGTTTCAGATATTCCAAATCTTTGAAAAGCGGGTAATGTGTATACTTCTATTTGTCAACCATAAAATACATATACTAAGATATGCTATTTAAAATATATTTAATGTAAGCACGGAATATTACATAACGTAGATAATATATTTCACTCATTGTCAGAGTTGAGGATTCCAGCTTTCGGGTCGAGATCAAGGGCCTAGGTAGCGACAATACTCCGCAGTTACAGGCCATTGGGCCCTCTGGAAACACCCTGGAAAGCCTGGTCATCTGAATGAAACGACCTCGGCATCAGCACCTCTTCTCATTGCCCAAGTCGCCGCGCTAAAGCCTTAACACACAAAGCCGCCAAACCAAAACCCTAAACCCTAAACCCTAAACCCTAAACCCTAAACCCTAAACCCGTAAGGGCTCCATAATAGGGGTGCTGCAGTGGGTTTCTTCTCAGGCTCCCTTAAGGGCTCCCTTCCAACGAGATCCGGATCCCAAAACCACATCGCCGCGCCGTATGCTTCCCAGCAAGCAGCGGCGACAAAGGTTGTGACCTCACTACTGGGTGGCTTGGAGTATTGGTCTTTAGGGTTTGGGGGTATAGTATAATGTAGTTTAATATCGTATGAAAAAAAAGCATACTATAGTATAATATAATATGGTATACTATAATATAGTATACTAAAGTATAGTATAGGAGGGTGTTACGGTTTGGGAATCAGGTCCTAAGTTCCCCGGTTGTAGGGTTTTGAGCGGCTTGGACTTTCAAAGTCGAAGTCAGGCACAGACAGCTTGAACCCCTGCATGAGCACCTGAGACTTGAATATCCTGCACTCTATGTCCATCGAATTGCATGGGGACTAGGCTGACTACAGGCACAAACCCATTTTAAAAAACAAGCCTAAACCATAAACCCTAAACCCTAAACCCTAAACCCTAAACCGAAATCGATTAGCCCAGGTGCAACAACGATCGTCGCCCAGCCGCCAGGGTGTTTCAAATCGCCTCGGCTGCGAGACAGAGAGTGCACTGTAAATTGTACATAAGTATATAAGTACATATACCTTTCTATGTATGTATGTATGTATGTATGTATGTATGTATGTATGTATGTATGTATGTATGTATATATATATATATATATGATATTATATTCTGTTCTATTCTATTCCATTCTATTCTATTCTATTATATATGTAAATAGCTTGAATCCCGAAGCTCGGAAACACCCTTGAGAGCTGGGCTCCGAAACTTGCAACCAGAAACATCTAAATCCCTACAGAGGCTCCTTGAAAGCTGGTCGCTGTACCCATAGGCTCCGTTGTAGTTCCTTCTTGGGGACTACGTTATAGGATCCTGAAAAACAAGCCACAAAAAAAGGAGGTACAATGGAGCCTACAGGTATGCACTGAAGCCATGGAGCGCAAAAGGCTCGAAGCAAAGATCGCACTGCCACCGCTCTGCCTGGCCCAGGGCAGAGCAAGTTACAAAAGAGACTCCAACACTCCTTGCTCAAGGACTACATACCTTGGGAATTCTAGAATATCAGGATTTATGTATAGGTTAATATAGTTCATGAATATGCCTGAAACCTATAACATGTTTCGTGTAATCCTTAAACTATGGAAGCTTCGAGTTAAGCCTTGACGCAAAGTGTCCCAGCTTTGGACTGAATACACTCCCAAACGCACAAGTGCCTAGGGTTTAAAGGTTTGGGGCTTCTTGCTTTGTGGCGTGGGGTTTAGGGGTTTATCATAAGAACCCTTAGCAGGCCTTGATACTCTATGAGGACCTCATAAGACTCATAAGTGTCATGAATTTACGGCTTTAAAATCCTTGAACTCAGCATCCTATGTTCCATCAAAGCCATCAGATTAGACTAGGGGTCCTTCATCAGGGAGTGTGCATCTGACTTAGAGTACAGCAGTGTCAAGCTATAGCAGGAGTCCTCGATACCGGTTCCTGTCTCCATATCCCAATCAGAATCTACCTCGCCATCCCTTCAAGTGAACTAAAGACCCTTCCCTGACTTGCTTGCCCAGTATCCTGGCAGAATTCAACGTTAACCCTACGGGGTTCTAGTCCCACAAAAAGGTTATACCAGGGCTACCTACTCTATTGCTAGGTTGACCTACCAGAACCTACTTTTTTGTCGGGTCCCTATAAATCCCATATTAGGGCTTTTAATCAGAAGCTACAAAAAAGGGGGTTATGGTAGGTTAAGGTAGGTTGACATGGAGGAGTTTGGGAGTCTCGGGGCTCACCCACCTTTATCTGCTCTGCGATGGCTTCGCTATCTTCCAGAGGGTCCACCTGGGCATAGGGTTTAGGGTTTAGGGGTTTAGGGGTTTAGGGTTTAGGGTTAGGTTTAGGGTTTAGGGTGTAGGGTTTAGGGTT